CAAAAAAATAATTTTGTTTTTTAATTTTTTTTTTAAATCATTCTGTTTGATTTCAGTTTTCATAATTCACTTTTCAGAAAATTCTATTTTCTCTTTTTCCGTATTTTTTTATTTTAACTGATTTTTTTAAATATTTTAAACAATTTTTTTAATTTTTAAACACACCTAATATAAAAACACTTAAAAGGTATAATATTTGTAATAAAAAAAACACTAAATATCAAAAATAAAAAATAAATTACAAAAATTCTATATATTTTTCATATTTTTATGTATTTATTAATTTTTTAAAATATTTTTTCACAAATACTTTACTATTTAGATACATTTAGGTAAGGTGCATTTAAAAAAGTCAAAAAAATTACTTAAAATTTTAAAAATATACACTAAAAATTAAAAAAAATATATGAAAAATAAAAAAACTTAATATTTAAAAAACTGAATTTAGAAGACTGAAATCAAACACATTGATTAGTTCTTTTTTTGTTTTGCACATAAAATTTTTTCTTTTAGTTTTTCAACTTAAAAGTTGATGTTTTAAAATTTTAAAAATCAAAATAAATGTCAAATCATCATATTTCTTTATAAATAATCATAAATAATGAAAAATTATTATTTGAAAGGTAATTCCGACTATTAAAAATTTAATTGAACTTGAAGGTCTAAAAAAATCTAGTTACAACTTAGAGTATAAATTCATAAATTAAGATTTGTGTATAAATGCCACAAATAAAATAAATTTTACAGCTATCTTTCCATTAGGGGTTGTTTGGGATGATCTAAATAAGTGCACTTTTTGACTTTTTATGAAATATGAGTTGGGTTTCGGTTTGGGTTTGGTTTGAAATGATGTGTTAGAGAGGTAATGTGATTTAAATAGGATGATGTGACTTAAATAGGATAGTAACTTTTTGACTTTTTTTAAACATGCCAAACTAGCCTTAAGACGTTAATTACTATGATAAAATTCACATTATAGTTAATTGCCAGCATTCTGACCCAAAGCTCGCTTTATCGTTGTCTTTGAATCGTTAATTATTAATTCATTTAAAAATTTAAGTTATTAGAATGAGAAATGATTGAGAGCTTTAAAAAATGAGTTCCAATAAATTTTAATGGGAATGGACCCCATTGTAATGTGATGTTTTGACTTTAATTTTATTTTTTTCATTTACTGTCACATTATTAGAGCTCAATTAAAACTTATAAATTAGAGGGGTGTATCATTATTATATTAGAATAGATTGGTATGGATATAAAAACAAATTTGTCTTACAATTTAATTTTTTTTTAATAAACTAACGTAACGCCTATCATATATTAACAAATTTGGGCTCATTTCACATTCCACACTTAAGGCACATAGCTTGTTTGAAAAGCTTATAAAATAAAAATAAAAATTTGTATAGCATTTTTTTTTTCCCCATTATTTATGTTCTCAACATACAACGTGTAATCATATTCTTTTTTATTGGCAGGTCAAATACGTGCAAATATTACATCTCATTTTTATTACATTTTGTTTTTTTAATTTTTAGATAGGAAAATCCTTTCTAAAAAAAAAAATTTGAGATAGAAATTACTTTTTGTTAGATAATCAATATTTTAACACACAATTTTAGCTATTCGATTGTTGAAGATTTGGTAAACACAAAAGAATGGAATTGGATTACCATTGTTGGTTGTAAAATAGGTGAGGTGAGAAATTCAAACCCAGCCCATGAAAGGGCCAACTAAGGTGGGCCAACATGCTTGGACCTTAATTCGGTCTGATCTTTGAGAGAGAAATCAGCTATTCCGAAAGCTTGAAATTGAAAGTTGAAAATTTGCTAGTCAAAAACCATGTGGGTCTATCAGTGTAAATTAGCTCCGGCCTGGCCAGACCCATGTCGGGTCACCCGGACTCTTGCCAAAATTTGGGCCGGTCTAGCTCATAGGTCAGAACATTAAGCCCAATGCCAAGTTCAGGGGTATTTGGGTCTTGGACAAGCTGACAGGCCTGGGCCTAGCCTCGGGCTTGGGCTAAGCCTTGGCAGGTCTGAAATTTTTTTCTATTTTTTCAACTAAAATTTTATTTTATTTTTTATTAAAAATGACACTGCTCTTTGGGTGAGCCAAGCCTTGGGCTGGGTTTTGAGTTGGGCTTGAGCGAGCCAATTGATTGGGTCATGCGGGCCGGGCTGAGTTTCAAAATGAGTCTAACCTAGGTCCAAGGTCTCAAATTGGACTTGGGCCAATGCACGAACCTAATTGGACCTAAGCAAGCCAGGCCGCAGCGCGGGTTTTGAGCCACCCACGAGTCGGAGGCCATTTTTACACCTCTATGTGGATATATGGAGACAACTCAGATCCATATGCATTTCAAAATTGGGCTAATATTTTATTTTTATTTTTTATCTCAGAGGGAAGAGAATCCCAACCAAAAAAAAAAAAAGTGATAAAGCAATTAGAAAATTGGGAAGAATTTCAAATCTATGGTGCAAACTTGAGTTCTTATGAGGTCTCAACTTAAGTGAATATTAACTATTGATGTTAAATTTTGAATAATTTTTCAAATTTTTTACTTGAAATTGTAGTCTTGTTCACAAAAAAACAAAGATTGAGACCTACAACGTAGAAGATAGATAACCAAAACACGGTAATATATACATATAAGCAAAGTTAATACCACAGTTCATTCATTTGTGTTCTGCAACTTTTTTTTTTTTTTTTCTTAATACTTTTATTCTTAGCACACTTTAAGGGTGGCTTATTTATGAAGAAACAGACTATAGATAATAAAAATCATAAAAACTGCAGTGAACAAAAAATGAATAAAAATATATTTTCTTATATGTATTTGAATAGATGAAATATTTTGTAAAAAAAAATTATGAGAAAAAAATATAATCACTACAACAAGACGTTGTCGAGAGAAACATGGATAAAAAGAAAAACAAATTAAATTGTCAAAATTTGTGGGAAAAAAATCCGGTATATTTTAAATTATTAGCCTAACTAACAAGCTAATGTAAGTTATACAGAAAATTTTAATTTTTATTACTTTCTACTACTCTCTATCTAAACAAACACATAATTTATTTTTTTTTCTTTTTCTTTCACTTTCATGTATTATCTATCATAATTGTACAATTATACCATAGTAACATGACATGGCATGTATTAATTTTTTATTTGCCACAAATTTAACTAGTGGTATTTGGCAACATGGATTTGAGATTTTTTTTTTTTTTTTCATTAAAAGACAAACTTTTTACAAAATCAAAAAAAATACATCCAAACAAAATATCACATCCAATTCCATAGTCATTTCACTTTTTCTCTCACAAACATCACATCCAATCACATAAAAACCCAACTATCTTCTCAAATACAAAAAAAAATTTCTCTAATAAAATCCTACAACTAAAAAAACCTACATAAAAACTCACGTCCCAAACACCTGCTGTGTAAGACCTAACTCTCTTGTCATATTATTGCCAAAAAACTATACATAATATTATTTCTTACATCTTTTTCTCACTTCTAAAAATAAATCAATGTGTCCACTTACTTTTGTTTGCGAGTAAGAAGAAGAGATAAGAAAAATGATTACATGTAAGATTTTTCGTGAGTTGTAAATTATGAATTCCTAGCATTTCTCTCCAGTTTAATATTTGAATAAATTTTAATTTTAATTTTTAATTTTTATTTAAAATATAAATTACCCTTTTAATTTAAAAAATTACAAATATCTCATTATAAGAATTTTTTATTTAACATAAGTAATGAAAAAAATAAAATTGTTCACCTATACAATAATAAAATTATCTGAATTATTAATTAAAATAAAATTTTAACATTATTAAAAAATATTAATTAACTTAAAAATTTATTAATAAAAGAAGTCATTTATTATGAAATTAAAAATTTCAAAAGGCAGACGTAATTTTTAAAATTACAAAGGATAACTTTTATTTTAAGTAAATCTCGGAATGTGTATTTGCAATTTACCTTTAATATTTTTGTTGTAATACTCACATACTATTATCTAAATAAATATATTTTTTGACTTTTTATAAAAAGATATAAAAAAATAAAGAGATAATATGACCCAAAATAAGTACACTTATTCAGAAGATGCCAAACAAATCCTAAATTAACAAACTTTTACACATAAGATTAGGTTAGAGTAATGCTACCTAAATTAACAAACTTTTACACATAAGATTAGGTAATCCTATTTTACCTTTTGTCATATAACATACAAACAACACAATTTTAACATCATTGAAAATATTCCCATAAACTTAAGCAAAGTTACACACCCTAGCACAAATTTTCAAATAAGAAAAATTATAAACAGCGCCAATAAAGATTAACCAAACAAAGACAACACGATATAACATTGAATAACTGCTCTATTTGTTTTTAGCTTTTGAAGAGGAAATAGAACTTTAAGTCCGTTTGTTTTCAGAGATAGAATAGAGGAGATTGATATTGAGGAGATTAAGTAAAATTATGTTTATTTTGATGATAGTTGTTAGTGTAAGAATTGTTAAATTATTTTTATATAAAATAAATATAAAAAAATACAAAATACAAAAACATTAAACATTAATGTTTTTAAAAAAAATACCTAACATGTAAAAAAAAATTAAAAAATAAAAATAAAATAAAAAATTTTCAAAAATAAATAAAATAATGATTTTTACTAACAAAAAATACAAAAAATTAAACATTAATATTCAAAAAAAAATACCCAACATGTAAAAAATAAAATAAAAAATAAATATAAATAAAAAATTTCTAGTCCGCCAGACTATTTTTCTAATACCAAGTCTTGGAGGCCCATCCGAATCCCATCTACAAGGCTTATCCTAAGGCCTTCGGCTTAACAGTCCCTTCCTCAACTCTATAAACAAACAGCACATTAAATAGAACCCACAGCTATCCCAATCTCAATCCACCTCCCGTACCCAAAACAATCTGGGCCTAACTTTATGTTTGAAGACAAGTGATGAGAAAAGAACAAGGGGCCACACTAAAAGTAGACTAGTACCATGCATTTATACATGCATACACACATACAAACTCATATATACAATGCAAAACCCAACTCACCTCTAACCCCAAAATCCAACAGACAAAAATAAGAGATATTCCAAACAGAGACTGACAAACAACCACATGCATTGCATCACATAAAGAAAGAAAAAAAAGAAGGAAAAGAGTAAAAAGATAAGAGAGAAAGATGGGTCATGGGTCATGGGCCATTGGGCTTTTAAGGGCACTTGGTTTTGTTGCCATGGGTAGTCATATCAGTGTAGCACTTGCCACACATCTCTCTATTGCCAGAGGTACCTGGTGGCACACACTTGCATCTCACACAGCATGTTCCACATGCCCTTGTGCACACATTTGGCCTTGAGTGTAGGCTACACCGCTGCTTGCACAGCCCTCCACAATCTACAAAATCCAAAAACAAAAAACAAAAAAACAAAAAAAAATTAATTGCTCAAATTTATTAGTCAAGAAATTATCAAAAGATTACTAAGAAAACAAGATAGGAGTTTGCATTCTATTGTTTTGACAAAAAATATTTTTTTAACAAAAAATTTACTTAAAATCATTTTTTTAAATATTCGGTTATGACTTTAAAAATGAAAAGAGGTAATAGGGTGGGGGTGGTGGTGGTGGTGGTTACGCTTGTTGGTAAAAGGGTGCGATCAATTGCCTAAGTTTTTTTTTGAGAACTCTCAAACTAAAAATAAGATCTTATTATTGGATCTTTGAAAAATTAAGACCTTGTTTAGAAATTGATTTTTTTCTGAGGTAAAAAAAAATGTTTGAAATTACTATTTTTTTATTTTTTAATTATATAAAAAATCATGTTTTGATTTTTTTTTACTATTAACTTTTCAATATCTAAAAAGCAAGTTACCAAACTGGCTAAAAACTTTGGCTAAGATTTTTTGAAATTGATACGGGTGGTAGGGTAATAGTGGATATGGTGCCAACAACGATAGTAATGAACACAAGCTCAAATTGTAATTTTAGCTAAGTATTTGAACAATTGAAGTCTTTGCATATATTTTTAAAATTTTCCTTGAGTAGTTTAGGATAGGGATTTAAAAATAAAAACATAAAATGTATTCTATATTTGAGTTATGTTTCTCTTATGTTTACATCTCAACATAAATAGTTATTCTTAAAATTATATTTATCATCTATTTTTAAAAAAATAAATATGATTAAACATATAATTGTCGATATTCAATCAACTTAATTTTTACATAAATATTCTACCCAATAAATTTAACAAAATAAACAGTTTAAATCACCGAAATCGATTTTAAAATAGACCTATTAAACCTAAATACTCTCAACTTGATATGACAACTTAAAAGAAGTCAAATCCTCTACATTTTATCTTTTAAAATTTTTACTTAAATTCATAATCCAAAAAGTAGTAAAACTTAAGTCCATCTAAATAGCTTAATATTTGAGTCACCTAGTAATAGTGATGGTAGTTCCGATGATGTCGGTGGCATTAGTATGATTCTAATCGATCTCATCAGTTCAGCAAAATAATTTCTATCTTTTAAAAATATTTTTTGCTAAATTTTTTTTGGGGTCATATAAACGCGAAAAAAAAAAAAAAAAAGTGCTTGAAATAAATTGTAAAACAAAGAAAACATATGAAGAGCCCACCAATTTCTTGCAAGAGCCTCCTGTTTGTTCCTCTCACAACTTCACCCTGAAAGTCACACATTATATAAGGTCATCATCACATCACAAATTTTTTTTTTTTTTTAATTTTGAATAAACAACAATCCCAAAGTTAATATATATGTAGCATAAATCATATATGTATGTATACCTTGACAATATAGTGCATCTCTTCCTCAGTGTTGAAATCAGATGACACCTGCATGTATATGTAAACAACAAAACATTACAAAATCAAAGCCAGCCCAATTCCTTAAAAGCAAAACAAAACAAAACAAAAACGCACACACACACAATAGAAAGTTGAAAGCAAATTTGTATACACCTGTGCAAGGAAGAATAGAAGCACTGCAACCACAAAAAACACACGAATTGTTGCCATAATCATCACTGCTTTCAACTTTGTGTCTGTGTGCTGTGATGAACATGGAGTGCAGAGAACTCAGTGATGATGGGTCTTCATATAGAGGGTTTAAATTTTAGTGATTTCCCAAAATGCCCTTATTTGAGCTTGTTAATGACCACAATCAAATCAATCATTAGTGGCACTGCCCAGTGGGGACACCTAGTACTTGGGGGCACACCTATTGAATCTACAATGGGAATAGATTCTTTGAATTTAGGGGTTGGGTTTGGTAGTAATTGTAGCCAAACAGGTGAGTAAAACCTAACACGTCTCCGAATAGTGTCTCAAATCAATCACATAGGGCTATTTTGAGGAGTTGGCTAAAAATTACTTTTTTTGGTTTGTAGTAAAAGTTAAAAGTTGATTTTTTTGTCTTTTTTTCATTTGGAAAGTTGGTTTTTAGCCAACGGTGAAATTACAATTTTACCCTCATGGGTCAAAATGTGTTATATAGGTGAAGTCGTAAATATTTTAAATAAATGGGGGTAGTTTGGTCATTTTATTATGATTTGACATCATAAACAAACATTAATCAAAAAAGTCAAAAGTCACTTTTTACCAACTTCCCAAATCATTTGTTTAAAAAAACCAAAAGCTTAGTTAAAAGTCAAAAAGTCACTTTTTACCATCTTCCCAAAATAAGTCATAATTAAAACTCTGCGACTATGATATGTTAATTCATTTTTATTAGATAATTAAAAGATAAATAACTTATTTAATATGTTTTGTAATTTTTCACTCATTAAAAATATCATTATATAGATAGTGTCTGATAACACTTTGAAAATATTTAAAAAATGAGTATTACTATTAGCACATCTCTTAATCCTTTGGATTTTTATTTTTTTAAACCCCCACCATAAATTTTGAATTTTAATAATATTTTTTTGAATGCCCTGCTTAATACCAATTTTACCCTCATTTATAATATTATCACACCCAAGTATAACCACCTAATTTTGCACACTCTCTCTCTCATCATCATCCTCCTTCTTTTAGATCTGGTGTGTCTCTTTCTGTCTCTCACTTTTCTAGCGGCCAAGACCTCAACTTTACAACGCTAGTCACACAGCATACCATTCTCACCACCACCACCGTAGACGACATCTAGACTATCTTCATCGTCTTTTTTTAATCTTGTTAGAAATCTCTCAGTCAAAAGCAGTAATTGATGGAAATCTCTTCGTCTCGTAGGAAATTATGTTCAGTTCAACAGTGTTGAAAATAAAGGTTTTACTCGGAACGTATATACCGAACTAAATATTTATGTTCAGTACTGTGTTACCGAACAAAACCTTAACAGTTTGCAAACTAATACCGAACCAAACTCAAACAAATAGTAACCATCGAAAACAAAAATCGTTAATGCAAGATAGATAAACTTACTAATGCAATGCCAACCTCATCAGAATTGTTATTATCATACTCCGTTACTTTATAAGTATCAACGAATGGTGAAAATGATCATAGATGTAGATCAAAATTTGATTGAAAAAATTCAAAGTCTGTAATAGAATTGTTTGCAAAGTTAACTAATTCAGACTAGACTATGATGGGAATGAAGATGAATATGTTTAGGGTGTTTAAAAAAAATTAATTTAAAAATAAAAATCCAACAATATTTTTTACGAGGGTTTAGAGGCTCCCAATAAAGCTCTCTATTGAAGATGCTTGAATTTATGAAATTAACCCTCACTTTATTATAATCCTTTTCTCCTTTATTGGAAAATTTATCCAAAAGTCTCAGCCCATAAAATATATACCAAAAAGTTCTATGAGTTTTTTTTTAGTCTATTAAGTTCCATTGAATTTGAAAAAATTCACCATGAGGTCCTTTTACTCTATGTTCTACAAATGCATGGGTATGCTCCATTTATATATTATCGTCTTATTAAATTTTTGTCAAATATAATATTATTAAAATATAATAATGTGACATCGTTTGAGTTACTTTTTAACAGATGATAAATAAAATTTTAATTTTTGACTTATTTAATCAAATAAGCCAAAATAAGCACCACAATGACAGCTTTTATAGGTCTCAAAATATTTTAATATATTTTAATATAATTTTTACACATTTTTCAACATTAACAATAGTCTTAAGAGTTATTTTTAGCATTTTCTAATTAAGAATAGAGAACTAATCAAAAAAACAGTATTTGCAGTATAAATTGTTGGAAGTGAAATCCATTATTTTAAAAATAAAAAAATTATTTAAATTGTAACTAATTTTCATATTATTATTAAAAGAGTAATAACACTTACATCTTCTAAGATTTGAAAAAATTACAATCAATTTCACATTTTAAATATAATAACATTAATTTTCTGTTTAGTAAGACTAAAAATACCAAAATTAATGTAAATAGTGGATAGAGATTAAAATAAACAATGATAAATATATATATTAGTAGAAAATAGATGATAATATTATTTTTTATTTATATAACTAATGAATTATTAATGAAAATTTATTTAATTGTATTATCAATATGATTTTGTTAAAAATATAAATTTACTATATTATTTTTGTAAACATGAAGGCAGTGGGTGTAATTTATCCTATTAAAAATATGGTAGATTTAAGTGTAAATCTTAATAGGTGGATTTATTGTCCAATAAGTCCTATAATAATTAATGGTATTTTTATTAAACACTATTAAAAAAGTCACTAATTGTTAATTTTCAGTGATAGTTTAAAAATTTTATTATAAAAATGTCACTAATTATAAGTTTTAGCGATAAGTTAAAAAATCGTCACAAAAAATTCTCTAATTTTAATTTTCAGTAACTGTTTGAAAATTTGTTACAAAAAAATACTATTAATTGTAAGTTTTAATAACAATTTATAAAAAACATAATAAAAAAATCACTTATTGTCAATTTTAGCAATATATATAAAAAATGGTCAGAAAAAATTATTTTTAATAATAATTTTATTAAAACCTATTTCAAGAAGAATTAATATAAATTAAGCCTCACTATTAAAACTAATGAATAATTTATCCTTAAAAAAATTATACTAGCAAAGACGAAAAAGTTCGTATAATGAAAATGACAGCCTAATACGAGAATGAAAAACCAGTGTAAATAAATGTACAATCTCACGGCCACACACGAGTCACGACAATAACAACACTGGTCAAACCTTTCGAAGGGAAATTCTTATACTTCACCACCTTTAAAAAGTGTATTATATGCCTTTTTAATTATATTATTTTATTTTTTAATTATGATTAATTTTTTTATAATATTATTTTAATTATAATTCATAAGTTTTTAATTATATTTTAATTATGATATTTTTTAATTATAATTCAAAAAATTAAAATTATATTATTTCATATTGGATTAAGTTTGGTTTAATTATAATTCATAAATTTGGTTTAAGCTTTTTGGATTAAATTTTTTGAAAATTGAATTTTTTTTATTTTCGTATTTTTTTGTTTTTAGTGAATATTTTTAAATTTTTAAAATTTTAAATATTTTTTTTACTTTTTTAAATGCACCTTACTTAGATGTATCTAAAAAGTAAAAAAATTTTGAAAAAATATTTTTAAAAATTAATAAATACATAAAAATACAAAAAATGTACTGAATTCTCATTTTTTTTGTATTTTTGGTATTTAGTGAATTTTTAAAAGATTTTTTTCAATTTTCTTTTACTTTTTAGGTATATTTATATTAGATATGTCTAAAAATTAAAAAAATTGCTCAAAATATTAAAAAAATTCAATAAAAACAAAAAAACACGAAAAATAAGAAAGTAGAATTTACTAAATTGACCCTTGGCAATCACCAAGGATGTGTCCATTATCACTTATTATCAAGTTTGGATTTTCAAGTCATTATCACTCAAGTTGGGTTTTTTCTACATCATTATCAACTCTATTTGGTTTGACTAGTCCTTGTTGCACATATGAGTTTTGACTTTGGGAATCCCTTATCGCTGTGTAAATAAGTTTGGACTCTTCCTTTGTATTTTCCCCAAAAAAAATTTTCTCGGTGTTAAGTTGATGCTTGTTTCTCTTTATAGTGTTTTGGACTTAGCTGGACGTAAAATCAACTTTTGCACAAACAGAAAAAAGATAGAGAAATGGAAAGGTCAAAAAAAGGGCTAATAAAATGCGTTTAAAATCTGTATTACACTGACATAAAAAGAAACCAATATGATTAATTGATTCGTCGGACATATATACCGATGTTCTAATTGTGTCAAGGCTTATTGTAATAAATAGACAAGCCCCTTTTCCATTATTATTTAATCGCTCTTTGTAATAATTATTTATTTGGACATTCAGACCCTCCTTCACGAGGAAACAAAATATGTAATAAGTTGATGGTCTTCCAACCCCATTTTTCTCCCATTATTTCACTACTTATGATGTTAATTAGGGACATCATGTTTATATTAGTATTTTTCATGATTTAAGCCATTCGTTTACATGCAATAAAAGTTCGGACTCATCATATTATTCAAATGTCAAAATTCAAAATCCTTCTTGCATACAATGCGCTATCACATGCCTTGAATTGACTCACATGCCATACAGTAGCCGGAACCTATATGGCACGTTGCATGTGTTTGTATTGGTCATATTAAATTGAATCATGCATTTTTTTTTTTCTAAACATTTGCTTTCTTTTTTGGACTCGCCTTCGAACGTTAAGGTAAGACATTTTTTGCCTTATGCATATTGCAAAGTGTGAATGGTTGTTCATATCACATACTACCATGAGGCTAACTACTTATTTGATTATACACCTGTTTGAATGCCTGTGGCATGAAAAGGCTAATCACTTGAATTGGGATACCTTGATTCAGTATTCATATTGAAGTCACCATTTTAAAGTGATACATATTTCAAAACACTTTTGTCAAGAACCAACTGAAATCAAACCATTCTAACTTTTCGTGTAAATTAGTCTATATTTGTATGTTACATTATAGAAAAGAACATATACTGTACATAAGTAAGAATCAACATTCATTGGATTTATAGTAGAGGCCGAATCTTTGTATCGGTGAGTGGGGTTTCAATT